CTTGTTTGCTCTCGTAAATGTATCTGTCAGGGTTTCTTTTGGTACACATTTTCACAAAATTTGGCTGATAAAACACTGTGTTCAAAGAGGTTTTGACAGAGCTTTGGTGGGCCGATACAAAATTTTTTTTTTTTGAGTGGGTGCATTTTTTTAGTTGCACTACCTGCACCGGTGTGAAAAAGTGCAATGTGGTGTACTTCTGGCATGTGTAAGAAAGTGCAAGGTGGTGTACTTCTGGCATGTGTATCGAGATAGAACCGTAAATACATTGGCCTACAATTTTCTTCACCAGTGCAGGTGTGGCTAAAAAGATGCACCTAGAGTCGGTGACAGGTCAAGAACGAAGTGGAAGCTCCTCCCACCCTTTTCCACTTCAGCCGAGCAAACGTTAAAGGGCAACTCCGGTCCATACTTTCGGTTTTGGGATTATGACTGTTTTTAGTCCAGTCAGCGTCCCTGAACTGCAAGGTGCAATTTTTTTCTCGTTATTGTGCGTAGTTCTACAGATATGGACCCCTCAAAGTTTTGTTTGGGGCGCGGCCAACAAACCCGAAACTAGCCGCTCGAGGCTCCGGCAACGCTCGAAATCAACCGCTATGTGAACGTGACGTCAGGATCGTTCTCGTTCAACGAGCACGCACGCCGAGCGGCACCTACCTCTGTTGCGCTAGCCGTCTAAAGATAGGAGGTAAGCTGATTTTGTTTTAATTCTGTATACGTGGTAGTTATCCAGCATATGTAGCAAGGGCTAGTGCATATACCCAAAAGCTAGCGACTGGAAAACCCGTGAACTCGTACGATTCCGTACTCGGCGGCCGCCGCCATGCGTGCGCTATGCCGTACTCGTCGCTTGTATACCCAAAAGCTAGCGACTGGACAACAAGTGAACTCGTTCGGTGCCGTACTCTGCGGCTGTCGCCGTGTGTGTGGTCTTCCGTACTCGTCGCTAGACCTAAATTGTCATCGGGGCTTTGTGGATGGAGCGGCGTTGCTCTACGCTGTGCTGCCAGTGACGTACAGTACTGGGGGCCCTCTCACTTTCGCGCTGCGGGTCAGTCCCAGACACGAAGCTTTGAGGCTCTACGGCGCGAGCTGCGGCGTCCGAACACACGAGTGCTGGGCTGTACACCTCTGTTTTTTCGTTCTTTTTTCCTCGGGCGCATAAAAGCCGAAGTCCAAAGTCCACTCATCGAACAGCGTTCACCCACACTTTCTTCAATTTCCGGTCCGTTCGAAACTTGTGAAGAAGCACCTCCGGGTTGCACAGCGGGTTGTTTGAGCAGCCCACAGCGCTACAAGTTGCGCTCGGCATCTTTCGAGGAACAGCTGGGCAGTCTTGGGCGCACCGAGTTGCTCGCTAAAACGAGTCTTGAAGTCCTCACAAGCAAATAAACAAAAATCTATACCGAAGCTACACGGGCTACAGATAAAAGCAACGGCTAAACACGCCAATCGCAAGCCGAAGTAGCTGTGGTAGTGGCTCAAAGAAGCGCACTACGCGCAACTCCTGGACCAGAGGAAAAAAAGAGAAGGATACTGACGTCACGGCCCAATGTTGCTTTGGCGATCGACAAACCGCTTGCCGCCCGCTAAGGAGCAGCGGCTTGCGGCGGGTCGCATTTTTATTATCGGCATTAGTTGAGAATGCGGCGTCCCACAGACGTAATATTTTGGCTGGGGTCGTAATTTGCAGAGCAGTCGCTTTCTTGTATGGGATCGCCATTGTCGCGGCTTGGTTTGATGGCAGAGTTATTGCTTTTTGGTGACACCATGTTCCAAAACTTCCTTGGGTTACCATTCAAAATAAACAGCGAGTCATAAAAACAAAACTTAGCCAATTTCAACTTTTTATTGTAGTTTTTAAGGGCAAAGTTATAAGCACCCAAAGCTTGAGGTGTTAACACGTTTAGCCTTTGCAAATAGCCTTTTCTTTTTATGCAAAAAGAGCAGCATTTTGGTGAACCATGGGTTATTTGAATCAGTGCATACTCAGGCTGTCGGAACAAACATATTTATAAGACTGTTCATTTTAGCTTTAAATAATGCCGGTTTCCTCTACTGATGGAAGAGGACAATTTAAATGTAATGGTCAAAAAAGATTGTCAACCCATGATCTATTCATCTATAATCAGCCTCATTATAATCGCGATGATCTTGGAAATAGAATGTTTGACGAGAACGGAGTGGCAAGTCGACATGTTGTAACCTATAATCACGGAGCCCGTCGCAGTATTGAATGGACTTGACAAGGTCCGGTGACGTAGTTAGTGCAGGGGTGGAACTCACGAAATGTCCTTGGGAACAGCCACGGGAGCAACTGAAACAGCTGTTTAGGAGCAGGTTGGGAGCAGCTAAAACTATGTTCTGGAGCAGGCTAGGAGCAGCTCAGATCAGTTTTCATTGCACTTCAGCTTGTGTCTTAGACACGCACGGGAGCAATTTCAATAGCGCTTAGCAGCACAGATGAACATGAGTGGTTAGGGACCTAGGTAGATGGGATAACAGTGTAAAAGGTGTGAAAACTTGAAACTTTGTGAGCCTCTATACTTTCCAGACTCGTACGTAACGTGTTACAAGATTACTTGTAATTGATTATTTTTACTGCAATTTTGTGACGCTTCGATTACTTCCTTTAAGGGGTAATGATCTTTTTAGTTGAACTAATTTTTTGCTGTAATCGATTACAAAATTACCCCCCATTACAATCTTCCTCATTTCTTTTTTTTTTTTTTTTGGGGGGGGGGGGGGGAGGGAGTTGGAGTTATTCAGCTCCGGGCAACGGGCTTTTTTTTTCGAAATTATTAAGCACGAGGCTGTGAGGATTAGTAGGCCACTTTACTATGCTTCTTTTTCGTGGGTACATTTTTATTTCTACACCGGAGACTACTTATGGGTATGAAAAATGACTTTATCTAGCCTCTTGTGAGGGATTAGGTGTGTGCCATCACTCACTCAGCTTTAAGCGCAAAACACACGTACAACCAAACCGTCCGATCCGACGTGCGGACTGCCGGAATGACCTTGGGGGGCGAGGGGGTTCCGCAGCATCGGAGAGCGTTGAAAACCCTTGCCTCCGACCGTCGTATTGCGCGGTCAGACGTCGGATCGGACGGTTTGGTTGTACGTGTGTTTCGCGCTTTAAGCAAAAACAGTCGAGGCTTTCTTTTTTTTTTTCTTTAACAACTGAGCGCGAGATTCCACGGATTATGCTATCATAAAAAAAGTTTGAATGAAAAGTAACGTGGGAAGTAATTGCTTACTTTAGAGTAATTTTTCGATTACTTCTTTGAGGCTGTAATTGTAATTGTAGTCGGGTACTTTATACAGCAAAGTGATTGTAACTGTCATCGGTTACTTTTTCAGTGACGGGTACAAGTCTGATTATTTTCTTAGTGGCTTTCAGCTGCTCAAAATGCAAACCAGCTCTGCTTATCACACAACCCACACGTGCTCGACATAGTACTTATATGTGCGAACCACGTGACGTGCGTAAGCAACGGACGCGGAGTTCCGCGGAGGAACAGGGCACCAAATTTCGAGTTTATACTATTGTGCAACTGAATATCGAAGCAGCAGACTACGATTAACGAAGTTATCGTATTCGAAGTGACAAGCAGGTGCAAGGTTAAAGTACACCAAACAGATCTACCGATCGCGTGAAAGCTGCTGGCCGGCAAGGTTTCGGATCGGATCACGTTTCAGTTCTATCAAATCACGATTTATCTTGCGGGAACGCGGTTCCAACTTCTAACGATAAAGTACAAAAAGTTTGAGGACACATGCGAAGTAAAAAAACATTTTTTTTGTAAACAGACCAGATGGAAAAAGAATGTTATAAAATAAAATTAGAACGAAGAAAAAAAATTTTAGAGCTATATTGACGGCACAAAATGATTTTGTAGTTGCGCCCGTGGGAGCCGCCGCAAGTCATGTGATAGACCTGTGCGCCGTCTCAAAGTCGACTCACAGTCACGCCGCCGCTGCACGCTGAGCGTGGTGCGCCGCCGTCAACTCATTTCTCCACACCGCCACCGCCGCACAAGTTTGTCTACCCCGCAGCGCTGCCGCCGTCATCTGACCGGCACACAGGTCTATCACGTCTGCTTCCGCTTTTTCAGGAGCTTTCTTTGGGTTCGAAAAGTTACCGATTAATCTTTGTGTTTTGTTGCACTTGAAATAAAGATGAATAACTAACTTTTAGAGACCATAGGAAGCTTCCGATAGAGCGGAAGCACCACGTGACAAATAGCGACCAGTCACGTGACAACTAGCAGCCACTTTTCCGCAGCGCCCGCCGGCGCCAACTACAAATTCGTATAGCGCCGTGAATATAGCTCTTAAAATTTTTATTTTCCTTGTGAATTCGTTTTATGACTTCCTTTTCCCAACCAGGCTGTTTAAAAACACTTTATTAGTCCTTTGCATGTGTCCTTTAAGAAGTGCTCGAGCTTCCTTAGGCTTCCTTGCTGGAAATCCTTTGTATTCCTGTTACTAACAAGTGCACCAAGTGAGACACTTCGGCCATTATTGAACACTTTGAATAAACAAATATGAATAGTTGGAAGATGTTACAAAGCAGTCTACATTGATAAAAATTCCTTCTTTCTGCATGTCAAGTTCGCTTGTGGCGTAATCTAAGATTACTACGACATACCAGTTAAGGAAAGTTGGTCTTCAAATGCGGACACCACACGCGAGCCACAGCGAGCTACAATGGGGAGCAGTGCCACGCTTGAGAAGCCCATCGAGGCACAGATGTTGTTTGGTCTAGCCACAGTTTACAAAATGGCCGCTGCAGCAAGAACAGCGGGACTGCGACTGCTCGCTTTTAACAATTCTGCAAAGCGGACACCTATGGCAGTTTTTCAACTGAGATGTTCAAGTAACGGTGGTGTAACCCGTGCCAAAAATGAAATGGAGCATAGAGACCCACTTTATTCGGCTGGCGGATGGAGATTCTGCACACCGACGAGCTGAAGCACTAGCGAAGTCAGTGCGGACGACTGGTGCGCACTTGCTGCTGCTTGTCCCTCTACAGCCTGCAGGAAAAGGGGAGCGCATTATGCACAAAATGCAAACTGTTACGCAACACATTAGTAAAGTTAAAAGCACGCCAGAGGTTTTGAGACGCGTTGCAAGCAATACAATAGGAAACTTTTGCCAAACAACTTTTCACCTTGGTAAGCTCTGTGCAGTCATGTTGCAGAGCAGTTTTCACCATTCACCTTATTAGATTACTCGTAGACAACGAGTTACTGGCATTTTAGGTGCTCCTAAAGCACAGAAGAAAAGAGAATGGCTGTGTTAACGAAAGAAGTCGAGAAGTCTGATCAAAGGCGTATGTGGGGCGAGTAAATCCACCCTTACTCTGTTCTCTTTCCCCTTTGGAGCTGCCTTGGTGGCGTCCTTGCCTGCGCTTGCGAATGATGCATTTTAGTTACACTGACGGCAGAGTTGCCGCGTGACAAGTCCTTCAGTAACGAGGCCAGTTTCCTATAATTACACGAACACACGCTGGTGGCGGAATATTATTTATTTGTTTCTTTAGTTACTTAGAATTACCCTCAAGGCCCCGAAGGGCATTACAGAGGGGAGTGCATGGTTAGTACAGTTCTGATTTTAGCGTTATCGGTGATGGTGACAATATCATCTGGAAGGCCATTCCAGTCTACAATAGCTTCTGGTAGAAGGGAATGTTGAAATGGTCTTGGGAAGGGTAATCTTGCACGAATGATCGAGTCTTGCAGAGATATAGCTGGGCTGGCTGAGGAGAGACTGTCGTAATGGTTCCGAATAGTACATTTTATGGAAAGGCAAAGACGGGAAATTCTGCGACGAACGGAAAGATCAGGAAGAGCTAATTGACATTTCATTGCAGTGACACAAGAAAAGCGAGACTAATTAGAAAAAATAAATCGAGCAGCACGATTCTGGACAGATTCGATTTGCGTTAGTTAAAAAAAGACTGATGTGGGTGCCAGATAGCTGAAGCATACTCTAGTTTAGGGCGAACAAGCATGGCGTAAAGGAGACGTTTAAGGATAGAAAAGGCAGAGTTGAAATTGCGACAAACAAAACCGAGTGAGCGGTTTGAGGATGATATTGTCTCGTCGACATGAACATTCCTGGATATATTAGTGGTTAAACGAACGCCTAGATATTTTTACTGTGTAGTAGTCAGAATGGTAGTGCCATTGAATGTTAACGAGTTTAAGGGCTGGAAGCAAGAATGTGTAAAGCAAAGGTGTGTGCATTTGCTAATGTTGAGACACATCTGCCATGTGTGACACACTGCTTCAAGAGCTTTTTTATATAACTTGCGATTCAAATAAAATGAAATTTACATGGCTTATTTGGCATTACAATCGGACTACAAATATGTACTTTGTTTTGAGGTAACCTAATTAGATTTATTAATATTGAAAATTTAATTTGCAATGATTATGGAAAGGATTAACGCAAATTAAAATACTGAGCTCAGAAAATAAACATAGATCAGTGAACTGAGAGGTATGAGCAATCCAATAAGGTATAAATGAAAGCTCTAGGATGATTTATAAATTACTTATGACACTTTTGAACCTTCCAGTTTCAAAATCATTTTTGCCGGATGCCTAAAAGGCACCCACAAAAAGCCTGACAGCCTATTTAATATATTTGTAGCCCTCATTCAATATGTCGAAAATCCTTCAGGACAAGATGATAAGTGATTGCCAAACTTCAAAAAACACATTTTTAAAAATGTGTTTTCTTAGTAAAATTTTGCTTCAAAGAGCAGTGTCTCCCCTTAAATGCCGTTCTGGAGTGCAACATGGTCATATGGGTTTTTTATTACTCTATAAACAGCACAGGTAATCAGTGAAATGATGAACTGAGGATGAGATGTGAAGAGGGAGATCATTAATGTAGATTAAAAAGAGCAAAGGCCCAAGCGCAATTTCCTGTGGAACACCGGAAGAAACGGGAGAGAAAGAGGAGGATGTGCTGTTAGTGAAAACGAATTGAGAGCGATGAATAAGGAATGATTCAATCCACTTAGGAACATGAGGATCTAGTTTTAGGAAAGAAAGTTTAAGAAGAATGCGATTGTCCGGGACTTTAGCAAAAACTTTGGCGAAATTAAGCAAAACAGCGTCAGTAGGAAAGCCGGTGTCAAGATTTTTAAACAAATCGTTAGTTATAATAAGTAGTTGGGTCCCAATAGAAAGGCGTTTCCAGAGGCCATGCTGCACATTGGTGAAGAAATTGCAGGAATCCAGGAAGTTAATCAGGTGCCTGTAAATGACATGCTCGAGGATCTTGTAGAGGCAGGTGAGTGATATTGGCCTACTTACTAATTTTCCGGTCAGAGGGCAACACCCCTGTGTCCACGGACTGCTCAAATATCTTTGAGGTAAAGACCGGATGAAAATTTAGTGTTAGTGAGAGCCTTCGTAATGATTTCCTCTATGCCACATGATGGAGATATTTTGAGGTTTTCTATACCGCTGAAAACACCCTGAATGTTTATAACAATTGAATCCATTGGAAAATCATTCTCTATAACAGGAGAAATTCCAGTAATGGGTGTAGAAATAGTGAAAGCATCAGAAAACGCACTATTTAAATATTCACACATTCACTATTCAATATGTTATTACAAGAGCTATTCACTAGATTAATTTCAGAGTACAAATCTCCAAAATTTGCGAGGGTTGTTTATTAACATAATAGGTAGAGTTTGCAGAAAGAATGTCTGCTTAGAGTTATCAGAAAGAATGTGTGCTAACACCCCTTTAACATAGTTTTTTATTCGGAAGAGCAAGTGGCAAGCTTAGGCCAAGTATTTCCTTTTTTAGCGCTCCTGAAACATCTTTTCTTTTTATGAGATAAACGATGAAGTGGATTATTGAACCACGGTTTAGACGTAGTAGTTCGGATTGTCGAGCACAGTATGGTAATTTTCAATAAGTTGAAAAAATTTTGTCTCAAGGCTTGCCAATTTTCATTAGCATTATGGCACTGGAAGGTTTCATTGAAATAAACAAAATAAAGCCTTCGCTGTTGGACACTTCAAATACACATACAAATCATATCTGGTTTCAGTTTGAGTCTAAGAACACTGCCTTCTAACTTAACTGGCTAAAGTAGGGTTGACCAAAATCAGCCTAACAACAATAATTGGGAGTGCACTACACTACAGTTCTCTTAACACCTACGCTTGCAAGTCGACGGAGTGCATCGACTGCCTCTCTCTGCGCGAGCAGCATTTCCTGCTGAACTGCCAGCTGCTGCTGCTGGGTGGCCAGCAGACCCTGCTGTGTGGCCAGCAGTTCTCGCTGGACAGCCAGATGGTCCTGCCGAATGGACAGCAGATCCCGTGCCGTATCAACTCCAGACCGTTCGTACCATTCGGTGGTAGGGGGCATGCCACTTGCGCAGGACGTTCCTCCTCTCCTCCCTTTGCCATGTCGCCTTCAGCCACAGACCCCTGCATAATATAATTCAACTATGTAACACGCCACAACGCTATACAGCCCTTCTAGTTATACCTGTGTCTAATAGTGTGCACCCTAAACTCAATATTATTTTTTTTTTCGAATGTCACGGATTTATTGTCTCCGAGTGGGTCTAGAAATGTGCTGCAGCCCCGATATCCAAGCTTTCGTGGAAAACACCACGAGGCAATACATTCGCACCACATTGTTTTGTACATTAGTGTTCAATAAAGGTAAAAAGCAACATGGTGTCTGCTCATGATCCAAGAGATTCACGGTACTTATCGAAGCTGCTGCTGCAGCCGTGAAGTCCCACAGCGGCGCGTCCACTGTCGGGGGCGCACGCCCGCCCCCTCGAGAGAAATCCGTCCCCACAAAAAATAATAATTTTTCTTGCTCCGCGTTTAGGGACGGCCCATCACTCGTGCCTCCACCGGCATACCTGCCAACCTGTGGACATTAAAATTCGTAAAACTCACGCAATTGCGGGGGGGGGGGGGGGGGGGGGGGGCTGTTTCGCAAGGTGGCAAGGCTTAATGTCAGCCTTGTCACCGTGCAAAACGCTTACGATACACGTGCACGTGCTACAGAATCCAAACTTCTCTCCTTTTTGGACGGCACAAAGCACTGGAATTCCGACGTGTAGGACTTCAAGAACACCTGAAAGTACCTCTTTTTAGGTTTGGAATTTGCCATTGCACCGCGAAGCCACCGCAACCAGGGGAATGCTATGATTACACGTGTAACAAACACAGACGCTGCACTTCTCGCCTCGAAACTGGCCGAAACAGAGGCCCAACCACGTCTGAACACGCCAAACCAACATGCGCCGCCAAACACACAAACAAAGGCTTTGGGCTTTGGATTGATTTTGGATATGTGGCCCCCGGATAGACGGATAGTAAAAACCACAACGCTGCCGTGGACGGCACCTGTCGCCCTCTTGTGGCAGTGTGAGGTACCGCCAGCAACGGTTTTACGAAAAAAATGTTTAAAAAAATAGAAATGAAAAAAGTATCTTTTTTTCGTAAAATTTGAAGCAAGATTCGTAAAATCGTAGAATTAGTCCCAATTCATACATTTTACAAAAAATTCGGAAGAGTTGGCAGGTTTGCACCGGTCTTCTGTTAGGGACACGAGACTCTCAGGTCGCAAGCCCACGTCTGGCATGCACGTGAGTTCCAGAAAGTTATTCTTTATGGCCGAAGGGCATTTAACTCTCAAACTATTACGCCCCATAGTGTATCTCGCTCCTCCTTGGTAACAAAGCTCTCTGTAGCAGTCCCCGAGAAAACTCGACTTTCACCGAGAAAGTCCAGGAGAAGCGCAAACTGTCGTGCCGAGACGTAGCGACCTAGCTTGCGCTTCTTAGCGTTGTCGGCCACAACTGTCTTCGCAACGTAAAGGGTTGTAGTTAACGTTGATTGTATTGCCGCGCGCAGGGTCACGGACTTCTAGTACTTTCTCGTTTATTCTTGCTCCGGACCTAACTTCTGTCGTTTATCCCTGCTTATGTTGTTCTAGAAAGTGCGTGTACATTCTCGCCGCAAGCGCGCTACGCTCGAACCTTCTCCGCCGAATCTTCGAGATAGTGACTCACTCTAGATAAGACGCCGCTCGCGACCTTGTCGAGTCAGTCTCGCCTCTGCGCTCGATCCTGCGGTTTCGCCGATATCGACGCCCGCGACGCTCTGCTGTTTTCTTTTGTACCCTTTTATTTTTGGCACAAGTTCGCCACATTAAACGTTTATTTCTTCTTGTTCATTTTCTGTTTTCTTTTGGTCACCACCCGTGACATTTTGGTGGAGGTGCTGGGTAGCAAGGGTCCTGATTCCGGGGGTAGGCCAAGGTTCCGGCGACTTAGTCGGATCTCGGTCTGGTCTTCGTTGGGTTCTTGGGGGCTTGTGTTCGGACTTGCACTGCGAGAACTCGGGGGGGGGAGCGCTGCACGGGCATGCGGTTACCCCGCACCTCCACCAAAATGTCACGGGTGGTGACCAAAAGAAAACAGAAAATGAACAAGAAGAACGCATGGTCGGAAGGTAACGACCATGCTGGACGCCATGCTGCCCCATGAGCCATCTGACAACGAGAGCGACGACGCCCAGGCGGTTGCTCAACGCGCCGAAGAAGTCCGCCAGCTCGCCCGACTCATGATTCAAGACCAGCAACGCGTCGACGCCGGCCGCTACAACCTTCGTCGTAGGGACGTTCACTTCCAGCCCGGAGATAATGCCGCGCGCAGGGTCACGGACTTCTAGCACTTTCTCGTTTATTCTTGCTCCGGACCTAATTTCTGTCGTTTATCCCTGCTTATGTTGTTCTAGAAAGTGCGTGTACATAATGCCGCGCGCAGGGTCACGGACTTCTAGTACTTTCTCGTTTATTCTTGCTCCGGACCTAACTTCTGTCGTTTATCCCTGCTTATGTTGTTCTAGAAAGTGCGTGTACATTCTCGCCGCGAGCGCGCTACGCTCGAACCTTCTCCGCCGAATCTTCGAGATAGTGACTCACTCTAGATAAGACGCCGCTCGCGACCTTGTCGAGTCAGTCTCGCCTCTGCGCTCGATCCTGCGGTTTCGCCGATATCGACGCCCGCGACGCTCTGCTGTTTTCTTTTGTACCCTTTTAATGTGGTGAACTTGTGCCAAAAATAAAAGGGTACAAAAGAAAACAGCAGAGCGTCGCGGGCGTCGATATCGGCGAAACCGCAGGATCGAGCGCAGAGGCGAGACTGACTCGACAAGGTCGCGAGCGGCGTCTTATCTAGAGTGAGTCACTATCTCGAAGATTCGGCGGAGAAGGTTCGAGCGTAGCGCGCTCGCGGCGAGAATGTACACGCACTTTCTAGAACAACATAAGCAGGGATAAACGACAGAAGTTAGGTCCGGAGCAAGAATAAACGAGAAAGTACTAGAAGTCCGTGACCCTGCGCGCGGCATTATCCCCCCCTTTAAAAGCGCATCGTCCCGATGCAGCACAAAACAAAAAAACAAAAAAAACAAAAAAACACAAATCCTTAACAAAACGGTAGCAAAATCGCGAGCCACAGTTCACAGTTCTCAGTTCACTCGTCGACAAGAGTAGAAAGTTCTATCGTTCGTAATACGGCTTCAGCCGGACGACGTGCACCACCTCGGAACGCGCCCATCTGCAAGACGTCAGCCGCGACCCGAGGTGGTGCACGTCGTCCGGCTGAAGCCGTATTACGAACGATAGAACTTTCTACTCTTGTCGACGAGTGAACTGAGAACTGTGAACTGTGGCTCGCGATTTTGCTACCGTTTGGTTAAGGATTTGTGTTTTTTTGTTTTTTTTTGTTTTTTTGTTTTGTGCTGCATCGGGACGATGCGCTTTTAAAGGGGGGGGATAATGCCGCGCGCAGGGTCACGGACTTCTAGTACTTTCTCGTTTATTCTTGCTCCGGACCTAACTTCTGTCGTTTATCCCTGCTTATGTTGTTCTAGAAAGTGCGTGTACATTCTCGCCGCGAGCGCGCTACGCTCGAACCTTCTCCGCCGAATCTTCGAGATAGTGACTCACTCTAGATAAGACACCGCTCGCGACCTTCTCGAGTCAGTCTCGCCTCTGCGCTCGATCCTTCGGTTTCGCCGATATCGACGCCCACGGCGCTCTGCTGTTTTCTTTTGTACCCTTTTATTTTTGGCACAAGTTCGCCACATTAAACGTTTATTTCTTCTTGTTCATTTTCTGTTTTCTTTTGGTCACCACCCGTGACAGTATTCATTATTTCAGTACATTAGGTACTAATTCATGCAACCAGATTTCAGGAATATATTTTTTTAATTTTGTCTCATGCTATTCATTTTGCCAACTTAAAAATAATATTTTTACTGTTATACTCACCGCGGTGTTTTGAGATTCTTAGTGGGGACACTTTAAGGGAAAAATCCCGATAGAGTTTCAACTCAGTCGTGCGTGTTGACCGACGTCACAATGGAGTTGGTTCGCCGGTGGAGTTTGCCAAAGATGGAGATGAAGCTGCTCCCATTGGCAATCCCACGAAGGAGATTCACCACTGCTTCTTTCAGCATAGACAGACGGGCGATGAGGTCAGAGGGGATGCACCTACCGAAGAAGCTGCATCACAGAGGCTAGCCTCACCACGTCATGTCATGGCCCTGCTCTTTTCAGCATGTTATTTATTATATTGCGCCAGAAAGCCAGCGACATCAGTACCTGGGCTAGTTGGTGCCACTGATCTCTGTTGTAGTAAGCTGGATCACGGATCGAGGCTCGTCTTAATAGGGAGGAGTGGTGCCACCAGCGCCCATCACTTGACATTGGCTAATGCATAAAACTCTATGGGAAAGACAAAGAAAAGTGACGTTCCCCCGCTCGTAAACTGTTGTCGTCACTGAATCGTTTGGCTGCTGTCGGGAAGCCTGTCAAATAGCTAGTGCACAAACATTAAATCTGACAACCCTCGCGGTTGTTATATAGAAATGTTTTGTTGTCGAGAGTGACTCTACTGGGCAAAAAATGTAGAGCAGCTCACTGAGAAGAGAGTTACCTAGAGGTACCTCGGAGTCGGTGGCGGTTTCAATGAGTCGGGTTTAGCAGGTGACAAGCTTGAAGGCTCTGCTATGATTTCGCTCACTCCCGGAAAGACGCTGCCAATATGGAACTTTGTTGACGTTCAGCAACTTCTGGGCTCCCCCACGACGGCATTATTGACAGCAAGTTTATTTGTTCACTCCACCACGAGAGCAAGCTTGCCAGATCAGCCATGGGTGCTATAGCACAATATTTTAATGGGCATTCGAATGCTTGAGAAATCGCAATTCAACCTCCAAACACACAATAAAATTATTGCAGCACATCGTAAAATACATGCCTTCGAACACTGTGTAGAAGCTTTAATTTCCTTCTTTTGTGTGTTTCTCCCATAGACTTGCGTGTATACACGACTTGCATTGACGTCACATCATCCACCATTGCTGCGGACCATACTCCAGTGCCCGTACCTTCCGGAGCACACATTTAGGACCAATGAATTTCTTCCTCTCGGAGAACTTTGCGGAGAAGAACAGATTCAATGGTGCCAAAATGTATGTTCCAGAGGGTACGGGCAAATACGATATAGCTTCGCCAATACTGGAAACTCCTCCGAAAACACATAGGAGCGGCGGCGAACGTGACAGTGGCGCCTCTAGCGGACTCGGAGTCTACGGAAGCAGTCGTCGCAATGGAAAAGTATAGGCTCCGCGACGTCCTCAAGCTTTACAAGCCCCGTATCGTCACCCTAACAGCAGAAACAATTTATTACGGTCAGTTCGCTTGCAAAGCGGAATCCACTGATCGCAACTGCAACGACAATTGAATAACAACGCGCGCATAAACAAAGATAGAGCAGTTTATTTAGCGGTCTCAAACGCCTCTCGGGGGATCACACGCGTTTGAAACGCTTCTGGTAAGCGGAAAAAAGGCGTTTAGCTACTCGAACTACGTCGTAATTGTCAAAACATGCAAAAACGACACGTTAATATTCCCAGAGCACGCGCACGAGCTGCTGGAGCATAAAAGCAAAACAAAAAGTAAGGATAAAAATGAACGTGCAAACACCTACCGAACTTTGCAGAAAAAATGGTGTCGCCATTCCCGACGAAAATGAGAAGAAAGGGGAAAGAGAAGCGAACAACGGCGAATAAAACAAAGAAGCTAGCAAAAAACTATTTCAACGACGACGATCGTTGCGGCGCTTATACAAAAAAGAAAGAAAAATGGAAAGCAGCAAATGAATAGCTGGTGGTCGCCACCGGTGTTGAGTTCACGACAGACAAAGCGGAAGCAACAG